AATCAATCATTCTGGGTTAGAAAGGCCAGAACTAAGATCCTAGCAGCACTTGTTTTGCAATCATCTACAGTATTTCTGGAGCCAGGAACTTAACCCAGACATCCAAGATTCAGTATGATGCTTTAGTCTCATTCACAATCCATCATTTGATGATGCACAGCCTTTTGCTACTTGACTTAAAAGAACGAGTCACGACCAGCTAGCTGTTTGCAGCTACAGCGATAAATAAAACTCACTGTGATTTATACATTCCTTTACTAACAGTTTGGAAACTTGGTTCCTGAATGCTCTTCCAGACAAAAGAAGGAGATAGTTACAGACAGTTCAACCAACAGGACAATTTTAGCATCTTTATTCTGTAAGATCATGAGGATGTGACTAGAATTTAGGTCTGGAGAAGAGTCTATATTCTTGGGTCCAGCAGGACAAAACCTGGTGCTGGTATTCACTTACAATAGCAGAACACCAGAATTCTGCAAAATAAAGACTAGAAGGAACCAAAGATTGAATGGTTACCCTGTGGTCCCAAACTTAAAATCACACTGAAATAATTCTTTTTGCTTTTAAATGAACTAGCCAAATATCAGAAATTTTTGTTTTTACTTCTGCAAACAATGCTTGTCCCATGGCATAATATTTTTTCTAAAGTCTGAAACTAATTATATTGGCTTGGCTTCTTAATATGTTGTAGGATGATTTGCTCAGATTTAAAGTCTGCAACATTTTAACAATTTATAGAATCTCAGTGGAAAAGCTGAGATTTCAACATATTGAATCTTCCCACCTCACAAACAAGACTTACTATTCCGAGGGAATAATGGTTGCTACCTTCTGCCGTAAGTTTCCTTCTTTATCAAGCTGACAAGAATGCACAGCCTAGACAGGATCCCAACAGCGAACAGCCAGAGAATGCTTTGCACTGCCAAGTTAACCACAGCAAAAACCTGGGGACTACGAATCACTTGTGGTTCATGCACACACAGTTCCTTCAGCATGAGCTGGCTAACCTGTCCAGTGGGGACAGGGTTAAAGGGTTACTAACTGCTAATGAAATTCCTCTACAAACTGCATGATAATTAGTACCCTCAGCATTCCCCACTGTCTCATGTCAGACTCATTTTCACTGTGGAAATAAGTGATTTCTGAAACTTTCTAAACTTTCTGAACCGATAGATGTAATCTCTCATGTATTTACATCCCCATCTATCCACAGCTACATATGGAACAATGGAGACAAGGTTCCCAAACAGAGCTTTGCTTTCAACCCCTCTCCTTCAAATTGTGATAACTTGTGGGGAATAACTCAAAGACAGAAAATGTGACTATATATGCTATACTGGGGACATGCAAATGTTAAATTCCTGCTGGGTGGTATGAATAAATTTTCATTGGAAAAGGACAATTGTTTTATTAAACTTCACAATTATATATTACATATTGGAAATGCTTAGATAAATGGTTATAAAAAACTAAATAAGAAACAAAATAATTTTGAAAACTGTATTTTCTGAAAACTTTTCTTCAATACCCTTTTTTGAAATAGATTTTCCACTTTTAATTTTTTTTCCTTTTTAAACTGTATGGCTATTGAAAAGTTCAGAAAAAAACCCTGACATTTGTAAGAACAAGAGAACCGCATATACATTTGGTGATTTGATGGGATTGCAGTATGGGAACTCAAAAAGAAGACATGTAAACAAGGAAGAGAAAATGTAGAAGAAAACAAGAGAACCTGGAGGTTTTGAAGCACACAGACTCTCAAAAATCCAGTGCATAGGATAAATCATGCTTGCCAATATCCACTAAGCCAATGTAGGAAGGAGAGCACAGGTAATTTAACCTTCTGTTAAGTATATTGATCATTTTAAGAATGATCATGAAGTCCCTCAAGAAAAGACTGGCACCCCATCACTAATTTGCATATTTTAATGCACATGGTGATTGTTTAGCTTTCTCACTTGGATAAAAAGGCAAATACTGTACAGCCTTCATCATGTATAATACTACCATTTTCATCTAAAAAATTCATGATTCTGAACACATTCTTGCCTCCTCCCCTTCTTTAGCTTTCAAATGAAACCATCTTTACAATCAAGCTAGTGATATACAACCTTGTTGTTTCACTGATGAATCTAATAAAAGTGTTAACATTAAGAAAAAAAAAAATTTTTAATTAATACATCATTAGCAACAATCATCTAGACTAGTTGCAGTAACATAACTCAGTTATCTAGCTGTGTGTGACTTTAATTATTCTTATAAAGCATGGCCTTTCTAACCCCTTGCCAAGGATATTTAATTTGGTGTCCAAGTTTTCTTGCCTATGGGAAAACCATTTTCCATTTTAGCTGCTTACAACATGTATAAGTGAATATGCTGTAAGTAACTAGCTACTTTGAACTTTTGGGTCCCATTATGCACACAAGTTATCTACTCCAAAAAGGCATCACATAAACATGCCAAATTATTCAACCTTATGAAAAATGCTTTTCATCTGAATTATAAGTTAAAACTTTTTCTGACTTTAGAGAAACTGGAACTTGAAAAGATAAAAATGTAAAGCTTGATTTTTCTTTGCCCAGAGCATATGTTATATAAACAAAAATCCCCAAAAGGTGCCAAGAATTGTCCCTCTGTTTTTCTAAATGATCACGTGTGCAGTCTAGCTGAAAAGACTCATCGATTATGTCTACACAAACAACAAAAGCCCTTAGAAAAAATATCTAGATCAAAAGCCTGTCAAACACTGAACAGGAAAGAGAAATCCTGCTTTAAACATGGCCTCTTTCAAGTCGGAATTCAATCCCATGAAGTAAAAACAAAGGATTTCATAATGAAAGGTATTTAAATTACTTTATTTTTGGAACTTAACCAGGAATTCTTTTTTGCTATATGTTAGCCTTTGTCTTTCTTACTTTGGGACAGAATTCTGCATAATATGCCCTACGGTTTTAAAAAAATGTAGAAATTGTTTAGTCACATTTTACTGTGTTCACAATACACATTTCCAATTATTTTCATGAAAATGAGACAGTGATATTTTTACGGACATTATGGGTTTCTCCTTTTGTCAACTACCCAACAATATACACTATTAATATGGGAACACAGCAAAGCTCTTAATGGATGTGATGGATATACTTTTTTTTTCCTTCTCTTTTTCCTCACTGTCCTAAAGCAGACCCGTAATCACAAAGGAAATTGCATATCCTTGCAAAACCAGATCACTCTACAGCATACGTAAAATTATATTCTGGAAAGTTTAGCCAGAAATCATAAAATAAGCATAAGTTAGATACTTTTAAAAATACGGTTTCTAAAAGGAAAAAACCACAATTTTAACAGATTTTACTGTCTGCTAAAGCACAATCATATAATCATGGAAAGGCTTGGGTTGGAAGGCACCTTAAGATCAACCAACCCTCCTGCCATAGTCAGGGACACCTTTCACTAGGCCAGATTGCTCAGAGCTCCATCCAACCTGGCCCTGAACACTTCCAGGGGTAATACCCATGTTTGATTTCCTACTCTATTAATAAGGTTAAAATGACATGATTTACAGTATGCCAACAGTGGTATCCTACAGACCAACTTGTGATTTGAATGTCCCCTATCTACACATAAAAACTGTAATATAAGCCTAATGTAAAACACTCACTACATGTTCAATCATACCACTACTGCAATATTGATATGCCATATAATGTCTATATGGCATATAAAAAATAATTAATAATGAATATTAATGAATAGTAATCAATATTAATAACATAAAGAGAACCCAGCTTTAAATTGGCTCATACCTAACCAGTGCTGGAGACAACATCCTGGTTACCAGGTCTGGCTAGTAGATATCTGTCTTACAAAACATCAGTTCATATTTGACAATTAAAAATATTGGGTGTGCTCAGTTTATTCCCTGTAATTGAGAGTCCCATAGCATGGATCAGCACATGAGCAGCCTGCTCCAGTCCCCTCCAACCCAAACCAATCTGTCACTCTGTAGGCACTCCAGTTATAACATTTGGATAGGTTATAACATCTTGGATACTCTAACCAGGAAGATACACAAGCATATCTGACCGGTCTCTCTCAATACAAAGCACGTTTGGTTAATAACTATTTCTGGATATGGTAGCTCTTAAACACATCTCTAGGTTAATGAATTCATGAATCAGCACTAGAAACAGAATTCTCACATAATTTGCCTGTTCAGGAAACAACAGGTCTGCCTTCGATTATAAGAGGAAATATCAAAGCAGAAGGAGCAGCAAAATGTTTAAATTATGTTGGTGTACTCATCAGGGTATTTTAACCTTGATGCATTGAATTATGACTTGTGTTAAAAAGCAAATTGGTCACTGCAGAGTAGTATTTCAAGAGATGCTCTGACATACCATTAGTCAAAACCTAAAATTATCCGTATTTCCTAAAATCTTATCAAAGAAAGGTCTAGTAAAGCATAGCCTACTCATTTTGAAATTATTTTTCTACTAATACTTCGGATGCCAGTTGATCCTGGATATTTCTAATATATTTTTCCTTGCAGTGTTAACCATTGATCACATCCAAGTATTTCACATGGATTTGCAGTATATCTGGAAAACCTTTAACTACTTTTGTTATGCTTATTCCATGTTTTTGGCGCGTACAAAAGAATTATCTCATTGGAATTAAGTTAATGAAACAGATCCAGCTTCAATAATTTTTCAACGAACAAAGGCTGTAAATTTGTTTTCTACTGGAATGTTGAACTTAGAAGATCACACACACAAGCCAATAGCATTTGTCTTTGCTGTCATGCAAAAGAGAGTGAGTCACCTACAGCACAAGAGAATAATTTTACAAATCTGTTAGAACTGTGTGGCATCTGATCAAACTAATCCATGTCTTTCTAAGATGCCAAAATAAACAGTCCCTTTCCCACCACGTATAAACATTGTTCCCATAACTTTCCTTTGAAATGTCATGAAAAGGTTAAGTGACGTTTCATTATTTACCTTGACTAATGAATTGCTCCATGTTGTCTTTGAAGGGCTGTAGGTGCTCTTCTAGTGATAGCTGATAAACTTTTGCTGCTTCTGTCTCACATGCTGAAATTGAAGTAACAGATTAGTTTAGGATGAAACATCATAGCATGGATCTGCATACTGTAATAAAAACCATTTTAATTCATATCCAGTGAAACTGCTGGAATATGTGCCTCAAACACACCACAAGTACAAACACTATGACAACAGAATCAGGAACAGACATGTTCCCAGTAAAATATCTTTATATGCAGATAATTTGTGCCCAGCATGTGAGTTTAAATAAGTGACAGTAAAAATTAACAAAAGTATTAAGTTTTTTTGAAGGAGAAAGACAAATTTAAGAGGCAGAATTGTAAGGGAACATAATTAAAACTTCAGATTCCACGCTGTGTTGATATACCTGGCCCGAGGTAATAGTGCCAGAATCAAAATAAGGTTCAGATGCAAAACCTGCACCAAATAGTAGGAATGACCTTAATTTAGAAAGTTAAGCCAGATGAGGGCTTGATACTTGATAAAATCACAGATGTAGTGAAGAGTTTTGCATTGTTCAAAAGTAATAATGCAAAAGGATTAAAGTGGAAGATTGTAAGAGTACTGTACTCATGGCTTAAACTCTGTGAGAGAACTTGAAAAAGAACAGCTTGCTTCTTATTGGACTGAAAACCAAGACAGAATCTGGAGCCTAAAGCACCCCTTACACAAAGATTATTTTTGGGTAAGGTGGTACCATCACACTTTCACCAACTATCCAAGCTAATTTAGTTTGGGTCAAGAGAAGACCGAAGACTATTATTTTACGTGAATGTTAAACTCCAATTTCCACTATAAGGGAAATCTCTGTAGGCTGTGATATGTTCCTATAATTCAACAGAAATGATTCTGCCTGATTCTGTGTCAGAATTTCCAGTTCAAGTGCACACATTCCAAAACATGCATTTCCTTGCCTACCCTCCAGGGTTTCTTTAGGAAAAAAGAATCATTACTATTTCTTTAAAGACAGAAAACTTGTTAAAGGTTTAAAATATTTTAAATAAAAATATTTAAAAATAAAAATATTTTGAGGTAGCAGAAAGCACTATCCTAAGATTTAAAATGCACATATACTCAAAAGCAGACTGACAAAGTTGAGTTGTGACTCAACACACAAGTGGAATAAAACCTGGGTGATAATAATAATTACATTTTTATTATTTTTTTTAAACACAGAGCAAAATAGAAATAATAACAGCAGACTTTTAGGGGAAAGATAAACATGAATATGTCTACTTAGATGGGTAATCTACTTCTGAAGCAATATTAAAAACAACTAACACCCCCCCCAGTATAGCCATAGAATATATAATGGGAAGCTTGTAGTTTTTAAACAAATATTAGTCAGCACATGTGAAATAGGGGAAGGGATCCAAATGATCGTGGATTTTATTACAATATATAACAGAAGAAGAAATAGAGGACCTATGTACCATTCTGCAAAGGGAGATGTTCTGAAGGTAATATGGAGAATTTGGATTATTCTTTCCTCTTATGCAGAAATAAGTGTCAGAGCTGAAAGAGGTGACAGAACTTACCGTAACATTTAATATCACTGAAATTTTGTATCTTTTTCAAGAATAAGGACTAAATATTTTTCAGAGCAGTACAGCATTATACTCTCTTGAATATCTGCAGCTTAGTTGAACCTCTGATCTCTCAGCCAGTGTGAGAGAAGTATATTAAGAAGACCCATAGCCACCAAAAATCTTAGCCCATACCCATTTCAACAAAACATGTAATATTGACATTTAAAAGGAAATGTCTCTTCTTTAACCATTTCAATACTGGAGGCTCTCCCATAGTTCATTTGTTTGTGCACACATGTGTGGTGTGGGAAAGGGGTGTGCATTTAATGATACCTTTGCTTGTCTAGTTTTTGGTGGAGTAATTTTTGTTCTTTTCTGCCCACACCCCTCCCTCTGTGAAAAGGCTAAAATCAATGATGTTCAGAAGAGTAACAGTTCATGTCCATTTTTTACCATATTCCTGAATTGCAAATGCTGTGTAAATAATTTAAAATGCAAAAGAAAACATAGGGACAACAATCACTTTCTCTTGCTGTAGAGAGAGTAAAATATTGTATGTAGCAGTCAGATTTAAAAATTAAAAAATCCAGTCATTATTATCATATGAATTATTACAATGATGCTTAAAACAAACTAGTTCATCAGTTGCTTTCTTCATTAAAGGATTAACAGGCCTGTAAGTTCTTCCTAAGTTTCTCAGTTCTCCAGATCACCAAGACTGGAATTGAAGTCTCCCTGCACAACCTGCTGGATATAGCACTCATTCATTATTTTCTGTAATTTGTCACTAGAATATAAAGCCCCACTTTTCATACGAGCCATTGCTGTTCCTCACTGTAACTGAAGAACTTAAGAGTTTTGATCAAATGAAAGTGATACAAAATACCAGTTCCCAGTATTTCTGCCCAAATGAAGCAAGAAGATACTGAGTAAATGCTTCTGTCAGAAGGGTATTTAGTAACTTTTAAGCAACATGGAGAAAAAAGCATGGGGGAAAAAAAAAAAGTATGTGAAAATACAAACAACCTTCTAAATTTAATTTTTTTTTCTCCTCAGCTTCATACTCAAACACATTTTTCTCCATGAAACAGCTCAGCTAAACATCCCAATTATCAAAGGAATAGACTGGCAAAGGGGATCTGATATGATGATTTTGTAAGTTTTGTGTAAAGCAAAAGCTTGTCTGATTATTATTAACTGACTCAAAACTTGATCTTAACTTCCCTATTCTCACGTTTAGTTATTCTCTCATTTTAGCAGATGTATATGCAATTGAAAAACTTAGACAAAGTTAACATATTTTTAAAACTCCACTTACTTTGAGCAGATTTTAAATTTTCTTGTAGTGAAAGAATTGAAAGGTATTCAAGGCACCAGAAATGTGACTCATATAGGCAGTCACAAAAGCCAAGCACTAGGTAGAAATTTATCTCACAAGACTGAATTGCCCAAACAGGAATAAAGATACTTTTTGTTGCTTTGAAGCAAGGAAAAGGTTTTGGTATCCTCTCATCCCAAATCATGCGCTTGAGACCTTCCAAAGATCTTAAATCGTATGCAGAAGTTGGCAAGGGCAGAGACACCTTTTCTCCAGCCCTCTAAATAAATATTAACATATAAGCAATATATCAACAATGGAAAAGATCGATAATACATCTAATTTCATCTCCTCTCAAGATCATATGCTTCAGAGAACTGTACGTCATTTTTCGTAGAAGCAATCAAAACAGATTCTTGTGGGCAATTCAAACAGGCAGCTTTTTGCCTATACATACACAGGTGTCTCAAATGCTCCTGGATCTGGATATTGATGTGAAAATCTGTGCTCAAAACCAGCTTGGAGATTTAAACAAATTCCGATTCCAGCTGTATCCAGTATCTCAAGAATTCATCTAATTCTTTATTTCTATATTAAAATACAATTAATTGCATTTTTTTAAGCTATTGTGTTAGCTTGCTCATCCTATTTTTTTATCTTTTTATTTCTCTTTCAGGTCAATTTACTAAAAACATATAAAGTCTCACAACAGCCGGTATCATTTAAGAGACATCTATACAGAAAAGGAAAGAGACAAAACAACCTGTGCTTTGCACTAACATTTTCAATACGTGATTCTGGTAAGTGATACAAAATGCACTCAGTCTCATTACCAGAAATAGTTACTTCCCTTTTTGAAAAGGAGAAAAAAAAAGTTCTCAACATTCAGGCTATCTTTTTAACGCACATTTTCCAGCTGGTTCTGTTGGATGCTAAATTTTAGCCCCTGGAAGCACAAATCTCTTCTAAACATGAAAGATCTCTATTTGAACAAAATGAGTGAGCAGATAACCAGCTGCTCCTCAGGCTTACTGCATTTTCTTTGGCCAGAATAACAGTGGGCAACTGGATTTTTCTTGTAAAACCCCCAAAATATAAAATCTCAACAAAAAATAAAAACACACAAATAAAAGTCCCAAACCCAACCATAAAAAAACCAACCCATTATTTAAAAAAAAAAAAAAAGCAAGCAGACTGATGAATTATCTTGGATGAGTAATTAACAAATCCATTAAGGTGTTTTTGTTAACTAATTCAGAAACTATATAGATAACTATGAAATCTGCTAGAAGTCAGGTGGATTTTCAATATAGTTTAAGATACATGAAAGCACACCTTTAATTAAGACTTGATAGACTATTTGTTTTTAAGTCTTTATGGAAGCTTTGAAATTATGTCCTTAATTTTCTGAGGTTGTGAGCGTCGCTGCCACAGGAGATGTGCCTGTGTCCTACTTGTCTGAAAACTATAGAAGAACAAAATCACTGCTTTCTCAACTTCCTCAGCACTTTCTGGATTCCTTACAATTGCAACCTGTGATTTAACCTTTAAAAGAGAGTTTAAACTTTATCTAAAGGAAACAATGCTGGCCTCATCACAAGACCAACTCTGATGAACCCAGCCACAAATACAGAAAGAGCTCTTAATTTTCTTCTATTTATTTTTTTTGGAATTGTAATGACTTACACTAAGAGCTGCTGAGTCTTCAAGGGCTTCCATAGACAGCTCCTTGTTTGGAGTTTTAAGGACAGTAAAATATGACTCACAGATTGACTGAAAGCCTGGCTTTAGTTTACATCTGGTTTAGGTTTAGGAATCTGCATGCAGCATAGCTGCACCAGTTAACCCCTTCAGTGATAACTGAATAGATAGAATTTGTGGATGTACAGCTGCTAATGAGTAGGCAAATGTAAAGATTAAATTTAGTTAAAACAGTACCTGTTTCTGTAAAGGTATGTGGTACCGATGACTGGAGGAGTGACCCAAACCACTACTGTTGCTATATTATTTTGTTACTAATTACCTTGAGTGATTTGGCATTTTTTAATAAAAGACTGAAGGAATTTTTTCATCAGAATATGGATCTATAGATCATAGAAGAAAAATAAAAGATCTATTTCTTAATTGGGAAATATCTTCATTCACATTTATATCAAAACTATTGACAGAGAATGACAAAA